CTCTGGATATTCATGTTCCATTCCTTCATATGCTAAGTGAATTTTCTAAATCAGCTTCCCCACTTCAAAGAGGTACATGCTGACAATAACTCAAGGAACAGTGTGTTGAGGAAACATGTGTGGTTATTTTGGCATCTTAACATCCACAGAAATGACCATTCTTCTACTCCCCATTATTTAAATGTTACCATATAAGGCAATAAAACCAAAGATGAACAAAACATTTAAAAAGTCGTCTACATGAAGAAATATCAAGTGAATAAGGTTAGTGAGCTACGATCTTCTGATCTCTTCCATTTCATGAAATAAAGTTTCTACCTTCTTGGCACCAACAACACAATGGATAGTCTAAGCCGTCCGAAATTCCATTCTTAACCCAGGACATGAGAAACTCATGTGCAGTTTGGCTCCTTTGGGTGAAACTGCAGGTTGCATTTAAGTAGGATCAAAGCAGAAATAGAGACACAGACACTGAGAACAAACGTATGGATACCAAGGCGGTGGGGGGATGAGTTGGGAGATGGGGATTGACATATATACACTATTGATACTATGTATAAAATAGATAACTAGTGAGAGCCTACTGTATAGCACAGGCAACTCTACTCAATGCTCTGCAGTGACCCAAATGAGAAGGAAATCCAAAAAAGAGGGGATATATGTATAGCTGATTCAATTTGCTGTACTGTGTAAACTAACACAATATTGTAAAGCAACTATACTCCAATAAAAAAAATAATAGAGCGGATTAGGTTTGGGTGTTACATGGGGACTGAGTGGCTTGATGCCAGGAAGGGGAATGGTTTCCCTAATGCCACCTTGCTGGAGCCAAGCAGACGTCATCAGTCACATTTTCTGTATCTGATTTGGCATTCATAGTACTAAGTTAAACAGTCTGTAAAGATGAATAAGACATGGAACCTGACTTCAGAGTTAATAGTCCATCAAGGAAATAAATATGATGTCAACAGCTACATGATAAAAAGACTGTCAGTGTATCATGGTCACATGAAATGTAGTGTAACAATAGTGTCAATATTGACAATGAAGATCACATTGTGCCATGCAGGGGTCCTTTGATCCTTACAAAGTCTTATGAAAAGGTACTGTTACTGTCATCTCCACAGAGGAGGAAACTAAAGCACAAACAACTTGCCCATGTCTGGTAAATGACAGAATTTGGATGTGCTCCTGGGCAGGCTGGTTTTGGAGTCTGAACTCCTAACCACTGCTTAAACTGTGTCTCTTACGATTAATTGTGTAATTAGCTCTGCCTGGTATGATTTAATGGTGTTCTTTATTTTATTTATTTATTATTTTATTTGGCTACATTGGGTGTTCATTGCTACGCGTGGGCTTTCTCTAGTTGCGTTGAGCGGGGGCTACTCTTCATTGCGGTGCGTGGGCTTCTCATTGCGGTGGCTTCCCTTGTTGCAGAGCATGGGCTCTAGGTGCATGGGCTTCAGTAGTTGTGGCTCGTGGACTCTAGAGCACAGGCTCAGTAGTTGTGGCACGCGGGCTTAGTTGCTCCACAGCATGTGGGATCTTCCCAGACCAGGGCTTGATTCTTAACCACTGTGCCAGCAGGGAAGTCCCTAATGGTGTTCTTTAAATGAGAGCAGTGAAAGAAAGAAAGAAGGAAGGAAGGAAGAAAGGGACGGAGGGAGGGAGGGAGGGAGGAAAGAAGGGAGGAAGGAAGGAATTAGGAAGGAAGGAAGAATATCACCATTCTCTTCAGGCAGAGAGAATTCCATGAGCAACAAGACACACGGGTTAAAGTAGCTTGGGATTCTCTGAGAATCAAAGAAGGTCCAGTTCAGTTGCAGGAACCAAATCACGGAGTTCTTTTTGTGCCATTCTTGGAAGTTTGAGCTCTGTTCTGCAGTTAGTAAAGTCCACGTAATATATTAAACCAGGCAGGTGGATAATTACTGATTGCTTTTTGCTTTAAAAAATTATTCAAAAAGCAATGTGAAAATGGTTTGGAGGTCAGTTATATTAGAAGCAAGTAAAAGCTTAGTACAGGTAGGGACTGGTGATTGAATAAACTCAACCAGTGGCAGGGAGGCAGAGCTGGGTTGAAGATACAGTTCAAAGACAGATGGAGCAAGTTTTAAGGACCAATTTTATTATAAAGAATGTCTTAGGAGAGAATACCCAGAGAACTGGAATTTATGGCTTAAATGGCTTTAGAGTGTATTTTTAAAAAAGGAACAAGTAATTTGATCTTGTTTTTCATTTGATTTGGTTTGTATGCTGAAAGATTGATTGAAGATAATGACCTCACTTTGGGACAAAGATATCCAGGAGCAGCACCTAATGCAGTTAGACACACAGGTGATTTTTTTTGGCATCTAGTTATGAACTTGAAGTATGGACTTGGGAGTCTTCAGTTCCTAAAAGCAGGAGGAGTGGATGAGATCAACTGGAGAGAACACAGAGTGAGAAAAGACTAAACCCTGAGAAAGATTAGTAAAAGTGGGCAGAAGAGGAGGAATCCGCAGACACCAAGTGAGCAGTGCAAGGGGAAAGCAAGGAGGATCAGCAAAGGATGGAGTGGTGAAATCTAAGAAATAAGAAATTTTCATGAAGCTGTAAATGGTAACAATAACAACAACAACAACAGAAAGTCAAATGATGCAAGATCTCAAACAGTATAAGGGCTAAGAATGTGTCAGTTACAACTGACAAATTTGGAGATGAATTTGGACAAAAAAATTTGGACAAAAATATTTGGACAAATTTTCTTCTCAAATTTGGAGACACCAACAGGGAAAATTCCAGTCAAGTCTGAGACCAGAATTCACACTTTAATGGGCTTAATTAGAGACAATATGGGAAGACAGTGTGTATAGAAAACTGGGGTTGTTTACCAGTGAAAAGAAAGCTAAAAGAGTGTGGTCAGTAGAAGTGATCTCATGGGCAGAAAAGGATTGTTTTGCTTCTACCTTCTTTATAGGTGGGAGAGACTCGAGTATTTTACAGGCTGAAAGGAATATTCAGTAGACAAGACAGTATTGAAGACAGGGACTGCTGGATGACACAAAGTTCTTTATCAGATGACAGGAGATAAAATAAAGAAGATGGTATTCTCAGCATGTTAACTACAATTTGTTTCCTGAGGGAAACATTCATTGTTGTAAACGTCTAAGTGGACAGTGGAGAGGATGAACCACTTTTGCAACTGTTGAGAAATAGTTCAAAGAATAGAATGTTATACTGTTACTATAAGGTTCAGACAAAGATGTCACAGACGGCAGACGTATGTACTTGCAGTCGACCTCTATACGGTATAGACGGTGACCTGGGAAGGGAGACATGCTCCCTGTGTACTAGGCAGTCCTCACTGCCTCTGATACGGCACCACCCAAAGTTCACTTTGGGCTGCTCAGATTGCAGGCTGAAATCTCAGTTTTTTTCCCTGTACGTTTGTAATGGATCAGGATGAAAACTTGGAAAGTTAGGTCTTTGGGAAAACAAATTCAGATTTTAAATTGTGCACTGGAAAGATGACTGACTAAAGCAGAGCATTCACTCTCTCCAGTCCGGACCTAGGTCACTGGGGCATCTCCAATCCTTGACACCATGTGCCATTAAATTACAAATGTAAAATACTTGGTACTTAGTATGTGTTCAACAAATGTCATTCCCTTACATTATAATACCTGTTTTCTGTCACTGTCGCTGAGCATATAATGCCTTATTCTATGCCTTTTGAGTTAACTATTTTATTTTCCCAACTATACAGTACGATTCTAGAGGACTTTATTTCATGTCTTTACATCTTGTCTTTTGTTCTTCTGACCACCAAGTTTAAAGTGCCTTGTTGGAAATAAGAGAAGGCTTATTGGATAAATGAAAGGATATTCTTAAGTTTCACTCCTAGAGAAGTTTTAATGAACAAAGGACAAAGGACTAGACTCTTACCCTAGACTACCAACCATGTTGACTCTTTCATGGAAGGATAGACCATGAGTTTCTTGAGGGCAAAGCCCTTGTCTCATACATTGTTTTTTTTAACCTACAGAGCATAGTACTGTGCTTGGCAGACTCATTGGATGTTTACTGAATGAGTAAATAAATGACCCCCTGAATGAATAACCATAAAAATAAGAGGGAGCTAAACATTTTCTACATCCCACAGGTGTTCATTAGATGCAGCTGACTAAATAGAAAAATGGAGTTTAATTCCTTCTATCCTCTAAGTTGATCTTAAATGAGACCTTCATTCTGATTGATTCTTTAATGAGACTGAAAGACAGAACACTGAAAGCCATGGAGAAATCTAAGATAAAAGGGTGTGAAAATAAAAATAATACTTATTCTTTGGTTTGTTGGTCCATTGCAGGATGGCCAAACTAAAGAAAAGAAATTGCAAAGTAAGAAGAAAGTTTCAACCAAAGAATATTCAGAATGACAGAATTTTAGAGAGGCCAGATCGTGTAGCTTAAGTCTGACTTTTCAGAGGAGAATTTTAGGCTATGTGACTTGTTCTAAGTAAGAGGCTGCAAGTTTCCAGGGGCTTATTACGATGAAGAATGAAAATGCAATCACCAAGCGACTAACTTGACTCTGTCCGTTACCCTTCCCCTGATAGCCAGAAGGCAAGAGTGGAAGCACTGTTAATGTCAAAATGAACCTGGGCACATGCTAAAACTACTGAAGTCTAAACTCTAGAGTTATTAGTAGGAGCGACACTCTTACCATAGCGATACACGGACACTTCTCCCAGACCAGTCTATCTACATACACCCCCCTTCAAATCCTACTCCTTACTCTTTCTCAGATGAGAAAGGGAGAGACAGAATGTGGGCAGAAGCATTGTAAGAATGGGTGACATGGGGGGTGCCATGAAATAAGAGTCACTCACAGGAAGAAAAAAATACAATGATGAGAAAGGTTTAAAACAAAAAGAAAGATTTGAATATTTTTCTTCAGTACTGATTTCAGAGTTCAAAGATACCTTAGCAATTAAAATAGAGAAAATGTAGTCTACTTACCCATTCTGTATGGCAGCTGTGGGGTCATAGGTCAGAGCCATGCCAGCCTGTATATGGGGGGAAGAGGGGAGAAAATGTATCTTAACATTTTTATGGTGGCGTCCAAAGCATTCAATACGCACAATGCTTTTATCTTTACTTTCTACGATTTAAGTTTACTTTATCCTGTATATTTCTCCTCCCTTACTACCAAGACTAGCATTTTTACTATCTGAACACAAGAATCCACCAGTGAGTTAGGGAGTTTATATTATATATCCAGACAAACCAAAGAACAATGCAGTTTGGATGATTTTCATTTCTAATTCATAAGCCATGCACTGTTTAATCTGGTAGCCTTATAATTTCTCAGTATTTTCAAGAATACCTATTGTATATCCCATGGCATGAAAAAAAGGAAAGGATAGATGCTGGGGTCAGAGTAAAAATAAAAGCTACTTAAAACACATTCGACCTTTTAGAAGAAAATGTTAAGAAACATTTATTTTAAAATATTGCATGTCTCAGGGGTGTCTAGGCAATGAATCACAGAGTGCTGTCCAATACTTGCTGGTACCTGTCTCACTAAGAGTGTAGAAAGGGAAGGTCATTTACATGTGATGGAAATTCTAGGCCTTGTGGCTAATAAGGAGGTGGTTTAGTTTTTTTTGTAAGAATAAAACCACCACTGAAAAACTACATTTCTGTAACCGGCAGTTGTTGCAGAAAAGAATATCAACTTGATGATCGCTGACTGACACCCTACACACCATACACATCATACACATACACCCTGACATCATACACATCATCATATTTCATCCTCACAAGGACCCTATGAAGTAGGCAGGAGAAATATTTCCTCCATTTGATAGATGCAGACACGGAAACTTGGAGGGATCAGTTGACTTGGTTAAGGTCACATGTGTGGAGGCAGAACCAGATTCCAACCCAGACCAGCCATGACATTGACTAGGATTTTGAATGAGCCCCGAAGATCATTTCTCTGTGGCCGCATGGGTCTACCACCCTTTGTTTTCCAGAACTGTCAGCCTGGTTATTGCTTGTGAGCAGAAACAGAAATAGAATGAAACAAAGATGACTAGGTTGTCTTTAGGTTGGATTTTTTTCTTTTTGGAAACTTAAAAATAAATTAGTCCAATGTCAATCTCCTGGCTCGATAATGCACTATTATTATATAAGATGTAACCACCGGGAGAGACGGGGTGCAGGGTAAACAGGACCTCCCTGTACATGTCTTTTGCAATTTCCTGTGAATATATAATTATTTCAAAATAATAAGAAAAAATAAATTAGCTTTAGTAAGAAAAAAATAAGAAAAAAATAAATTGACTTTTGTAGAGGATAAGAAAAACCATAAAAACTTTAGAGAAAATAAAAAAGATCTTTCATGTTTGAGTTTTTTTCCAGTGTGATTGAAGGTGGTTTTCCTGATAAGCTCATTTAATTCCTCAGTTTTAACACATAACTGAAATGAAAATTCTCAGGCTTTCTAAGATAGGGCCTGAAGTCCAGGACGGCCTGCTACATTCAAGCTTACATGCATTGTTTTCCCTAAACAGTAATTTAAAAATTATTATTAAGATTGGTAGGAGGAACAAAACTGTAGAGCCATCTATAAATGAAACTGGCATACAGGGAGCACACGTAATTGAAACGAAGTTTGCAAACAAAGCTGAGATGGAGATGCACTGAGAATACAGGCTTAATGATAACTGCCCATCACTCATGTTGAAGAAATACGATATGATAATGTGACAAGCTGGGGTCTGGAAAATGAGAATAGAAGAGTGGAAATGAAGACAGATTACTTTCCCCCCATGGGAGAAGCAAAGGCAGTGATGTCAAAGCACATAGATTCTAAGTCTAAATTCTTCCCTAGATGGGGTCTCTGCCATGTGACAAACAGGAGGCTGGTCTGAGGCCAAAGACTCCCCAGGAGGGACCTGTCCAGGCGGGACTCCATGGTTCTGGGTCCTGGAGAGGGCAGCTGGAAAAGCTGTCCATCTGGGATGAGATTTCCCTCTTAGAAACCCTAAGCTTCTTTCCTCTAACATATCCAAGATGTCACACCAAAGACAGGATGAAAAAAACAGGTTTTGTACTCAATAAAGATATTGTTATTTAATAAGAGATTTAAATGATCACTGTATCTTCAGACCCCTGTTCGCCCCCAAATTGTTTAAATCCCAGGGGACTTTAGGAAGTCACATTGAACGTATTTTCCGATAGTGCTCAGAGACCAATGCCTTTCTTGAATTATAGGTCTTCAATATTCTCTTTTTATGCCATGTGTATTTGTTCTGGCAATGTCAGGTAAAGATTTTTTTTCTTTCACATTTGACTTGAATTCCTCATGGATTATAGTTAACCAATCAGGTCTAGCTAGGAATACGGTAATTATTACAAAAATTCTCTCTCTTTCTTGAATAGTATTTGATAATCAGAAAGCCTAAGTTGGCCTCTTCCTCCATCTTAAACCTCCACTCATCTTTCAGAAGATGGAAAGAACTAAATAGATGATAATATGGTTTAGTGGAGAGAATATATGTTTTGGACCTGGGTCCAAGTCTTAGCTCTGTTGTTCTCTAGCACTGTGACCTCAGGCAAGTTATTTAATCTATTTGAGCCTCATTTTCCTTAATTGTCAAGTGGTATAGTAATACCTACCTCAGGTGATTGTTGTGAAATTTAAAAGATATTACTTTTGTGAAACGCCCACCACAGTGCCTGGAGACAAGACACATACATAAACATTATAACACAAAGCAACACGTGGCAAGTGCCCCGTGAGGGTATGCATGAGGTGTAGGGGAGAGGCCAGGGTGGTCAGGGAAGGCACTTGGAGGAGGTACAGGTGAGAGATTTCCATAGATGGAGATGAGAGGCGGAGGCCAGCTTAAGCAGAAGGAATAATAGCATGGAAAAGGCGTGTGAATAAAAAGGGCAAGGTGGACGATCCACTTGCAGTAGAACATTGGAGGGAGCAGTTGACAATAAGATTTGGAAGGAAAGGAGGAAGGTCTGGTCTTGATTGCTTGGTTCCTCTTGGGGAGCCACTGATCATTTTTCAAGCAGGAAAATGATATAGTCAAAGAGGGCTTTGGCAACAAGAAATAGCATGAGCCCCCTGGAAAACAGCGGGAAGAACCAGAGTGATGGGTGAGTAGGGTAGGCACTGGGGGACAGGTGGGTGGAGAGAAACTAAGGAGAGGATGAAGCCAAGTTTCATCTACTTCATGATTCGGCCTGGGGCCAGTCGTGCCTCTGAGGACCTTTCGCAAGAGAAGACAACCAGAGATCTGCATTTGGAACACTGTGGTTTACAAAGCAAGGCATGGGTTAAACAAAGGGGTGTTTGAACTTAAACCGCTGGCTGAATATCACAGCACAATAACTAACACTGGGATGCACCTGGTTTTCATTTCATGTGTAACAGATTGTTGAGTTATAATTCTAATATGGTCTTAATGCAGATTTTGCATTCCATTTCCTTTTGTTTCTTTCCACAAGGTAAAAAAGAAAATCGATTTTGCTGCTCTGTCTAGCCACCTTTATACTGAGCTAGAACCATGAAATCATCATTATGTAATTAACAAATTTTATGGCATGTTTACAAACTCCAGAGTCACACAAAAAGTAAAGTAACTTGGAACAACACGAAAATGTCACACCACATAAATAGAGAAGTGATGTTTAATCCCGTCACTCTCTTTTGAAAGGGGTTTATTAAATTCACAAATATTTTCCACTTTTTAAGTTCACATTATTTGTGGATTAAAGGCATTTATGATTTATTTAAAACAAAGAGGGGACATTTTTGTCATTTTCCAGCAGCAGCTGAGTTTTGGCTTAATATTTCAGCCATAATGGGGTATTTCTAGTCCTTTCAGATAGAATCTAGAAGAGCTAAATAAAAATTTTAAAATATGGTTTATTGGAGTAATTAGGTGTCAATGAAAAAATGTTGCCTGCCATATCAGTAAACAAAGATTTGCAGCCATCAAGCCATCACACTACAGCCACTCTGGTGAGCCCTGAGGGAACTCAGGATAGAAACAGGATGCCCACGGTCAAATCATCAGACACTGCAGCCACAGCCCACCCCACAGTGCATCCTGAAGATACTCAGGATGAGAAAGCACGGGATACTGGCCCCAGATAGCTGAGGTGCATATCAAAGCGATGATTTCAACGAGCCCTGACTTTTGCATCTTCCCATATATAGAAAGATGCATCCTTAACTTGAGATCTTTTGTTGCAAAAACTCCTGTATCTCCTGGTTCCTCCCTTACCTCTTTGGAAGCAGTCTCTCAGAGTGATCTGGATGCTGTGTCCCAGGCTTAAGTTCTCAGTTTTGTCCAACAAATAAAACATAATTCTCAACTTTTAGGTGGTGCATTTTTTTTTCAGTCGACATAGGGACCCAAAATTATTTCCAATAAACATAGGGGATTCATTGAGACACATCATTTTGACTTAGGGGCTAGATATTTGATATCCATAGCTTTAAATGAAGAAGTAATAATTATGGAAATACTGCTTAAAATGTACTTGCTAGAGAAGGCATTACCACTTCAAGAAGACCTTCTAGACTGGAATGCTTGGTCTTATCTGAGGAGCAGAGTATCATTGACTCTAACAAAGCCACTGAAAAGATAGCTGATAGAATGGTTTCTATCATGTTTGAAACTGTTTTTACAGTGTAATGTGAATGGGAATCAAAACATTTGATTACATGGACAAATACACACTGTAATTCCTGGAAAACTGAAACACTGATGTTGTAGCCTAATGTTTCTCCTTTTTCTAAATTCTGCCCTGACACACAATACATCATGATTGGATGAGTTACAAATGAATAATTATAAAACTTTCCAATCTTCTAAGATCAGATTTCAGGCAACACTTTAATAAATAGGTAGTAAATATTGTATATTTTAGTAAATATTGTGTACTGAGTTAGCACAAGATGAGTTCAGGAAGCCAACGAAGAAAAGGATAACTTGGTTTTCTGGATATTATTTTTAAAGAGTTTAATTCTTGC